TTATACGAAATTAAGTAAGAGAATCATCCACCAGAGCAGACGATTGAACAAACTTAAGCCCGTATAACCCGGTAGTCCGTGAAATCACAAAGGATTTCAAACCAACTCGTGTCCCAGCCATGATCGTAATAAGTTTAGCGGTCACCATCACATATTACATAAAAGTTCGCGATCTCAAATACATCAGAGTTTCAACATAGTTATTACAACCCGATTCAATGAAAATAGCGGAATTCATTTGTTCAAACTACACACACACGGAGTTTAAATAGAGTGCCAAATGAATGATCATCTCCAACAAAAGCATCGGATGAGACATAAGGAACGACCATGCCCATGGTCCTAAGCATCACCATCGCAGGATAAAGGCGGTTGATACAATGGTAGTAATACATCTCGCCCATCTCGCAACAAGTGGGAATAAAACCACGAGTACGAGAAGGTACTCAAATGACTTTACCCGACATAACCGAAAATAAATGACACCAAAGATTATGAAGGCTTTATAGTAGGGTAGCTGACTCATTTGCAGAAAGAAGCATTTTTAGCATTTCAAGAACTTTTCGAAAGGCATTATTGTCAACTTAATTATTATTAACCTATCGACTAGATTTGCATCTATACTAGAGTAAACATGTGATTAAGCAATTAATGATAACCACGATCATTAAACAACTTCCATACTTGTCATATTCACTATAACTGTCCAAGTGTTCCATAAACATTTACTACGATGAAGTCACTCAAGTCAAGTGCTCACTATCCGGGAGCGATGGCGATTCAATCGATTCCTAACCACCGGTGATTTATTCCTTACACAAATCTCACTCACCACGCTAAAGTGAGATATTGATCACCGAGTCAACTTTCCGGTATCTCGAGTTTGCCAGAACCACATGTACCGGGGGCCGACCGATCGCACTTTGGTCTTATCATCCCGCCCGTCCTACCACACCTCTTCCCTAAGACAAGCAGTCATGGCTGGGGCAATCTACTCGGCCCGAAAAATCTCCCAACTTCATGGTCGTGAAGGTACTTTATCCGCCCAATAAATGTAAGGCATGCGTTCAACATGACTCGAGGCCCAACAACGGTCGGTCCTTAATCGACACAGATTTTAAACACTACGGTCCAAAACTCGCAAGTCTCCGCCCGGTCTCAACTTCATTTAACACTTAGTTATACCATGACTTCATAGCCATCCAAGCGATCCGGTAACCACCTATAGCTCGTAGGGGTGACAGAAATCACCCGACTTCTACCGGTCTAAGCCGACTAAGCATTGACTCATTGCGGATACCGGGGTAACAAGGATATAGTATAACAAAGGTAAACAAGGTATAATGCAAAGAACGGTTGCAAACAACTCCTGAACGTAATGCATCAATTTAAGTAAAGTATTTAATGAAATCATTGCAAACCGGGAGAAAGATGCTCGGGGCTTGCCTCTCTCGAAGGAGCTCGGACGGTGATCGGGGCACTCTTCCTCAACGTCCTCCTCGTCGGCCTGGCACTTCTCCTGCTTTGCACTCGAGCTGCTCCTCGGGCTCCTCGGTTATGACGACTGGGTTCTCGGTTTGCGATCCTCTGTATGATGCAATGCGTGTAAGTGCCTATGCAATCGGTGCATCAAGGAGATGAATGCAATGGATATGTTGAAAGGCAAGGTAGTCAACATCATCCAAGAAACTATACTACAAGCACATGTCATCTACTGCATTCTCTTCTACTACTAATATGTTAAGTTAACATATCTTATGAAATGCTTTAAAGATACCCCAAAGCTTTACTAATTTCTTAATCACACTTAAAACAACACTTGCTTAAACCCTAATTAATAATAGGTTTGAATAGCAACATATATTTCTGATGCTCCTAAAAATCTGAGAAAATTACAGTAGCATAATACTACCCTAAACAGACTACCATAAAAATTTCATAGCATTTGGATAAGTAAACTATCCTACACAAAAATGACAAGCTATAGCATAAAAATGAGCATGAAATTACTTTGTACTATGAAAAGTGTCAAACAACAGAATTAGTATTTTTCCTAGGTTCTTAATAGCATATAATGACTGTACAAAAATTATCAGATGCATGTTTTATGCAACTTTGGCTTTTTAGCAAAAATAACAAAAATCAGCCATTAAAGGGACTTGAACTACACCTCAAAATTTTCCCACAGCACATGCATGAAACCTATTTTTCTTAGGAAGTACATGACATAAGAAGATGAACAAACTTGAAATCATATTTTTCTGAAGCCTATATATTTTTATACACATTTTTCAAGTTATCAGCAATTTACATGATTAAATAAAATCCTATAGAAAAGTATCTCAAAAATGACATGCAATAATTTTCCCAAGTAGATCTGGTGATAAGGAACCTAGCAAAATTTGTTTCAACAAATTTGGAGCAAGTTTGACCATCCAAATATTTTTCAAACCATTTCAGATTTCAAATAATAAAGAATAATGAAAATCAATTCACTTAAGCGTTACTGGGCCGGCCCGTGGGGAACAGCTGGCCCACGGCCACAACCGGCCTGCGCGGCCCGAGCGCGAGGGAAAGAAGACGGCCCAACAGTATGTCAACCCCCCGACTTTGGCTTCGGCTGGGCGGCAACGAGGCAGCAGCGCTTTCGGGCGTGTGTATTTGGTCAGAAGGTGACAATGATGGATCGGCCAGCCGACGGCGGCCGCCTCCGACCGGCCATGGCAACAAGCAAGCAAGCGCAATAGGTGTGTGTCGAGGCCATGGCGAAAGCGAGCAGCCTAAGCAGGAAAGGGGAGAAGAGGCGACTCAGCGATCGAGCACAGCCAGCGCCATGGACGCTTGTGGCGGCGCGCGGGAAGCTCACCCAGGTTTCGGAAGGCGGCGCAAGCGCGAAAGCGTGAGCCGAAGGAGGTGAGGCGCGGCTGTGGCGCGAGCAATCGAAAATGACGAGGCGTCAGTGCGAGAGCTTAAGCGGCCGAGCTAGGCGAGCTCTCGCTCTGGAGGAGAAGAGGCGTGGGCGCGAGTGAGCGAGTCTGCGGGCATCGCCAGTGAAGGCGGGCGCGCGTGGTGTCATGTCACGGGGCCATGGCGGCGGTTGACGCCGGCATGCGGTCGCCACGCGGCGGACGCTTTCTGCCGCGGTCGTGGCGTGGCGGCGGGGACGGCATGGGCTGCTGGCTGGGCTGGGCTAGGCCGAGGCGCGATGATGGGCTGGCTGGGTTGGCTGTGTTGGCTTGCTGGGGTGGGCTGGCTTGACTTGCCGGGCTGAAGCAAGCGGCGCAAGGCCCACGAAGGTAAAAACAAGATTTTCAAATTAATTTGAATTCCTTTTCCATTCAAACGAATTTTTGGACTAAATCAAAGCAGTTTCAAACTTTGGGCTAAAAATAAAAGTTGCTCAAAATTTTATCCTCTACAACTTTGATTTTAAGACCAACGTCCAATTCATTATAGATTTTGAATTATACAATTAAAGTCAATTTTGACTTGAACCCTAATTTTTGAAGAATTATTTTTAAAGCAAAATTTGGCAATAATTCAAATGCAAACCTTGCTCTAAAAATTGTGATAAACAATTCTAGATGATTTATAATTATAACCAAACAAGCTCTACTACCCTAGCAAGCAAAATCAGGGCAAAACAATTCTTAAACCGGTGTATGCAACATTCAGGTTTCACGCACGTTTCAATTGTTTCAAAACAATGTTTCAATTGATATGCACATGATTAAGCACGTAGGATTTGGATGCTTGATGATGCATGATATGCGTGATTTGCAGTGTTTAAATGTAGGCATAACACCGGGGTGTTACAATCGACCTTGAGGCTCCTCCATGGTTTAAGCTTGAAGAAGATGAAGCTTGGGGCTACCTCCTTCATCTCCGGCGAGGTTGACGGCGTGGGGGAGCTGCAGCAGCTCGTCGTCGGCATGCACCAGCAGCAGGGGGCGTCCCCCTGTTTCCTCTTCTCCTTCTCTTCTTCTCCCTTCTTCCTCTCCTTCTCTGCTTTCTTTCCTTCTCTTTTTCCTGGCTCACGTGAATGAGAAATGGGGAGGGAGAGAGATGGAGGGCTGGTGTGTTGGTGTGGGTGAGGTGGTGACATGTGGGCCCGGAGGCGGTGTGGTGTTACCAACACAACACATGCACGGGACAGGTGTCACTACGTTTTATCGAACAGTCCGCGGAATGTGTCGGACGGTCTGGTGGCGTGCCTGACAGACAGACTGTTTGTGCATGGATTTCTACGGATACTCCGTCAGTGCACGGGTTGCCCAAGATTATCCTAAGTCTATGAGATGTCTTTACGGACGGTCCGGTGGTGATGTCGGATGATCCGCAAAACCGGGCAGTGCTCGGTTTTGGGTTGGCGTAGGCACAAGTCAGATTTTAATTGCGATTATGACATGCACACTAGGATGGTCACAAATGTCTGCCTACATTGTAATGGTTTTCGGGTCGTTACACTTTTGCTACAAATGTTAATAATATTAATAATTCATAAAACATAGGTATTTAAATCAATGTACCGATATAACAATAACAGAAAAGTGTTAAGCCGACACACTCTAAGGAGGACGCAGCAAAGCCGCGCTAAGTTTTATAGGTGGAAATGGAAATTCGAGCGGGACCACCCATGCAACATTTTTTTTTTTTGAGAAACACCAACGCAACATTTTTTTTTTTTTTTTTAGGGGAAATTTTTTTGAGGAGATTTTGAGGGCATTTTTTTTAGGAACTTTGGAGGGGAAACTGAGAGAGGTCATATGAACTTTGGGCCAGGACGATTTGGCCATCTCTAGCGCGGGCGCACAGCCCAAAGCCCCTCTTCCACGTATTGACGATCCGAGTCGACGTTTTCCCCTACGGAGTACTTCACTCTCCCCGTCCCACTGCTTGCCGTTTCAATTTTTGAACACCCGCTCCGGCGTCGCTTCGAATCCCCACGCGGCGGCGGGACCGCGTGACCGACGCGCGGCGCTGCCCCTCCGGAAAGCCGCATGGATGCCGCCGACCCCCTCTGCGCCATCTCCTCGCCTGCGCGACTCCTTCCGCGGACCCTTGGCCCCGCCCCCGCCTCCGCCACCGGGCCTTCCCCCTCGAAGGCCCGCGACGCGCTCCTGGAGGCCATTGCAGTCGCCCGGTCGCTGGTACGTGCGCTCGCCCTTCGCTCGACGCATGACCCCCAGTCTCGAATCGCCGCCACGCGTGCTTGCGGTTGCTTGGTCTGGGCGGTATGACAAGGAGGTCCATCTCGATAGTTTCTAGGGTTCTGCGTTCCTTTTTCCCCCCATTTAGAGCTTAGTTGTTTTTTACCTTCGTTAGACCCTTAGAGGGAAATATTGGAATACCTCATAGCGCCAAACATGATAAACATTGTATTACTTGGATTGCTTGAGTGCTAACTTCAGCGTTTCACAACGTTACGTGTAGAAAGGGTCTGAGGAGCTGCTTAAGCAGGCTAAAATGGTGCTGAAGGAGCACGGGGACATCCAGGCTCTCTACCATGATGATGGAGTGAAAGCGAGGCCCCCTGCAAATGGCAGCAAAGAGCAACAGGGAAGAAGGCCAGCACTGAACCGCAAACGGGCTCGGTTCACTATGAAGGACAGTGCAAGGCAAGCTGTTTGCTAGGCCGTTACCTTCCTATAGAGCTGCAGGAGCAGTGTGAGCTGTGAATATTGTTAAAACTGACTTGTCTTGATGCTGTTTTCTTTGCAGCAAACCGATGCCTGTTGTGGATCAATCTAAGTTAACGAATATTTCGGATCCAGTCGAATACTTTATGACCTTGGATCGGCTTGAAGGTCACTCTTATCATTTCCATTGATTTGTTGATCAGCATTAAGCAATGCACTAATAATGGTTCATCATTGCAGAAGCTCAGGAGGAGATCCAACGGCTACATGGAGGAGCAGAAAAACGCGTATTAAATTTTGATCCTGTAGATGAACCGAAGAGACAGCCTGGTTTCCGTGGGTATGCTTCTTATCTCTTTTTATATTCTGTGAGTGAATGATTAGATAATATTGCTTAGCAAGTATCACTATCACAATGTAGTCTGAGAAAATCATAGGTCGCCTATATTCTCTGTTTGCTCGTGTTATGCAACTTGTTTGTTTGGATGTATTTGCATCCGTATCGTTTATTCCGCGTGTTATTGCTACTGGTTGAGGCAGACAAAGTGGAAACATTGGACTTGCTTTTTCTGTACCTAACATTCTCTCAACCTACCGGTAATGTGCTCAAAAACATCCATGACGAAATATGACCTGATCCATGATTATTCCTGTTAATTGACAGGAGAAAATCAGTCTGCAGTTTCAAGGTAATTGAGGATGCTGATACTCAAGATCCCATTGAGGTACCAGCTTCCCAAACAGCAACTATGACAGGATCTCAGTTCTCACAGGATGTTATGCATGTTGTTGCTGACAAAAATGAACAATGTGTTCCTTCAAGTTCTGGTGAAGCTATTTCAGGGAAAGAAGGTTAAACAACATTTGTTTAAATTAGTTTGCCATTATCTATACTTAAATTTGCTTAATGTAAATTCAATGTTTACAGATTCATTAGCTGAGAAGGATGGCCTTGACGATTTGACTTATTTACTGACTTCAATCCAAAATTTGGATGAATCTGAAGAGGAAGAGTTTATCCGCAAGACCTTAGGGTTTAAAGAAATAAGGAAGGAAAGAGTTAGTCTCCGTAACTCCATTCCTGGAGTTAGGCCCCTAAGAAGCAATCCTGAACAAAAAGGTTCAATGGGGATTCACCCTCCAGAAAGTCCTTTGCCTCAGCCTCGCCAGGATCGAATTTCAGAGTTGGAGAAACATTTATTTCCTGGAGGTCCAGCAAATGCTAAATGCACAGATGATGAATCTGAAGGTTCACCAGATATTGTGATGGGTGAACCATCATTGGTGCATGATTCTTCTGATGTTCCGATGACTGATGAGAACTTTACTGGAAGTGAAATTGACAGGGAGACCCCAAATCTGGGTGCCAGAGCAGCAGGCCATATTCTTGATCCTGAACCATGCTTGCCTGATCATGCATATGAAAGGCAACCCGGAGGTTCCTCAGTTGGTTTGTGCAGAGACACAGAAGTCGCCAAAGAAAACGAGGCATGCAGGAGGAGCAATATTTCTGTGGAGGTGCTTGTACTAAACTCGTTTTTCACCTTTTACTTATTCATTACTGAACTTCCGATACATTGACTATGGCATATATCTCGATTTACTTTGCGCTGCAGGAAGATGATGTGCCAATAGACTATCCAACTATTGGCAGATCTACTAGTGAAACAGAAGCTTCTTCTCATCATCTGGAGGGCAGCTCGACAGAAGAATTGGTCAGTAAACCAGGTAGACATGCAGCTCCAGATGGTATCGATAGGACTTTACATGCAGCTGAGGATAGCATTCAACATCTAGTAAGTGCCTGTACAAATTATTATTATAAAATATAGATTATTGAGTGTATCCTGAGATTAGGTTCCTGTTTCGTGGCACAGGAAGTGGTGGAAGAGGGTGGTGTTCTACAAGGTACTTGTTTTCTATGAAAATGCCAGCTAAACAGATTCCCCCAGGACATAGGAAAAGACAACATATTTATTACAGCTTTTTGGTCATCCAAACCACACAGCCATTATACTAAAACTTTGCACTATTACTACCACCATCTCAAAAAGGATGCAATTCTATTATCTTAAGTTTGATTAAGTTTATATACTCCCTCCATTCCAAATTATAAGACGTTTTGGCTTTTTTAGATACATAGATTTTGCTATGCACTTAGATATACACTATGTCTAGATACATAGTAAAAGTAATATATCTAGAGAAGCCAAAACACCTTATAATTTGGAATGGAGGGAGTAGAAAATAGTATCAACTTGTATGACTCCAGATAGGTATACTATGAAAATATATTTCATGGCAAATCTAATGATACTTTTTTAGTATGATAAATATTAGTATCTTTTTATATAAGTTTGGTCAAATTTCAGATCATTTGACTTGGCATTATTCTAGAATTGCATCTTTTCTGTGGAGGGAGTATTTTTAAAGTCTGGATTGGTTATTTTCTGAAGTTTAGAATAATTCCTTTTCTACTCCAACCTCTTGGCAAACAACTGTGTACAGTCCACACGTGAATGCTCAGTCACACACGCACACACAAAAAAAAAAAAAAATCATCCATTACAAACAGACCCTAAAGCAGAAGAAAGTCCAACATTGTTCCCTGCTTAAAGAGACAGTACAGAAGGACATACTCCCGCGGTCCCGCCGCTCCACATTATAGGTCGTTTTAGCTTTTCTAGGTACATAGCTTTTGCTATGCACCTAGATCTATGCTATGTCTAGAACTTTAGATACATAGTAAAAAATATGTATGTAGAAAAGGCAAAACGACCTATAATTTGAAATGGAGGGAGTATATTAAGGAAATAAGCTCCCACCCTCTGTCCCAAATTATAGGTCATTTTGGCTTTTCTAGGTACATAGCTTTTGCTATGCACCTATAGATATATGATATGTCTAGATACATAATAAAAGTTGTGTATCTAGAAGAGCCAAAATGACCTATAAATTAGAACGGAGGGAGTATTTAGCATTGGTTAAATTGTTAGAAAGCTATGTCATGAACATTATCACAATATTCACCAGTCACCACGTGGTAGAATATCGTGTCTCAGTATGATGTTATAAATGATATACTACCTATGGTTCCTTGCCTTAAATTATTTGTCAGTTTAGGGCATGGGTGCTGTCTTCCATACTTGTTGGCGATTATTCCGTATTTTCTTGAACATGCTAGAGATGTGTGCATCATTATATTAAAGGAGAAGGGGTAAGAACCCTTAAATATACCCACACCCACACATGCCAGAGACTCTTAGATTACATTCACACCCTTGATTATAAAAACAGCAAACTCAACCTATGCATAGAAGTAGTTTTTTTATGAATCTATATATTAATTTATTTTTCCAAGTACTTCAATGTATAGCAGTTTGTAGGGACAGAAAATCTTTGTTTGGTATTCTGGCAATGAGTGCCAAATTTGTAGCATGTATTTGTTGAGGTTTGTAGCATATATTTTTTCTCCACAGATAAGTCAAGCCAGTCGTTGGAGATGCCTCTGGAAGATATTGATCCAGTGAATCAGCCTCAGATGCATGGTGGAAGCACTAAGGTAGATTCTTATATACCCTAGATGCTGTTGTCTTTCAATCACTGGTGCTCTAAATAACCTAGTCAAGAGCTTTTATTCACGCTGTTATATAGATAAAGTACCACTTCATCATGTATTACGAGCATCCTTGATGGTGAAGGAGATTAGGTTAGCTATCCTGAGTGGCAAGGTTTTTTTTTTTTTTTTTTTTTTTTTGTGGGGTAAGGAAATGTTTGCTCACAGCCCAATAGCAAAGTTAGACAAGGAATCCAAACTAGTGCTCTGGGATTCTGTCCTGTTAGCATGTCTAGGCAAGAGTTGGTAAGGGAGAAATGCCAATATATTTGTTAATAAATTCAAACCACTAAAGTTGGCGAGCACTTGAGCAGCAATGCTCATTACTGAGGGATGCGTTAGCACGTTTGGTTCACTTAGTGGTACCTAAATATGGTCACATCTCATCTGAACATTTTATGCCGTCCTTTACATACTTATACTCACATGAGCATAGGTGAAGCAGCGACCGTCAGAGATGTAGTTATTTTATCCTGTGTGCAAATCTTCGTCACACTTTTCGTTGTATAATACTCCCTCCATTTTCAAGTGTAGGGCGTGTTAGGATTTTCCAAACCAAAATTTGTCCATCAATTGCTCAAAGTATATGTATGTCTAGAGCACAGCAGATGCATCAACAGATCTTGTTTTACATGCCTTTTAGTAAGACATTGGTTTGTGGTAATTGTACATATTGTAACAGAAATTAATTGTCAAAGTATACCTTGAAAGACTTTCCCAAATACTAAAACGCCTTATTAAAATAAATGGGAACTTTCATGTTTGCCTGATCTCAGAAGACAAAAATTTCATCCTTGTCTTCTTTGGACTTTCAGAAATTGGCACCTGATTTGTGCAATGCACTGTCCTTAACCAAACAGAAGAAGCAACAAGCAGAAGCAGCCCAAGAAGGGAAAATGAAGAAACAGTCAAAGAGGGGCAAAAAAGTGGCTGGTATTACTTTTGCTCGGTCTACTTTATATTTATACTTTGTTACTCCCTCCGATTCCATGTATAGGTCGTCTTAGGAATCTAGTTGCTACTTTTTTAACTTGGCTCATCAATATCAGTATTATATAAAAGTTACAAAGATCAACAACTGATGGCTGATGTTACTAGATTCATCATGGGAAATACTTTCATAGTATATAACTTTCTTTGTTTAAAATTATATAGTTATACATAAATTGCAAGTCAAAGTGCTAAATGACTTGCATCTGGAATCAGAAGGGGTAGTTTCTAATGCATGTGCACCACGAGGATTCTTGTAATATACAATCATTCAGTTATCATTTGGCTATTAGACTGTGGATTGTTCTTAGCTAGGCTGATACCTGCATGGCTGTATTAGAGATGTTTGGGGGTGTTTAAATAAGCAGAATCATGCTTTTGTTGTGCTTGATCAATCATTTACATGTTCCATTTCTTCCATGTACTATTAGATTAAATCTTATACAAGGACAGCATTTCTAGAGCATGTTTTGGATCCTATACCTAACAACCTTGCCAGCAAGAATAGCAAAGATGGTTGGATATTTGCTTCTTTCCTACTTATGGGCTAGGATTTCCTTGCTTTCAAGGGAGACACCACACCTTTACTAGAGATGTTATCTTTTGCCCTTAGTTTTTTTATGGGGAAAGTTGCGAACATATAGCTGAAGGTCATCATCACCTGGCCAACTGGCCAACTTGGGCCTTATTGTTTTTTTTTCCTTTCTTGGTGACATACCTTTGTATTCGATTGTTCTCTTATCTTATCTACTTAGCTTTGTTAAATTACTTGATTATGTATAATGGCTTATATTTTTTTTGTCTGGAGTGCTGAAGTGTATTTTCTTTACAGATGAATCTAGCCATGCACTGGAAATACCCCAAGCAAATTTGGATTCGGAGAATCAACCTCATAATGATGATGTGAACATTGAGGTAGACTTCTTATTAGTTTCTGTACTGAAATTCTTGTCTTAAAATCTTATATAGAAGTAATATTCTGGGAGTGGCCAAGGTAGGATTTTTTTTTTCTGTTTACCATGATAATCATGTGTTATTCAGGACAACGAGGGATGAGTAGTCACATCGAACTTTGTAGATGTGTGGCCAGACAAAGACTTGTGTAGGGCCCTATTTTTATTCAAGTTGCATGCACTGACAAGAGCACAGGAGCCAGCAACAAACATAGATATTGCACGCACCTTTTTAAGCATGTGTTTTACTCTGAAGCTCGACATTCATATGCTTCTTTGGACTTTCAGCAACAGACAGTGTTGAGTAGCACACTATCACCAAACCACGCTAAGGGGCAAAAGGGAGCTCAAAGGACAAACAAGACCAAAAAATTGAATCAAAGAAAAATCCTTGGAGGTCTTACTTCTGCACATCCTGTACTTTTAAAGCACAGTTATTTTCAGAAGGATACTGATGGCCTACGTTTCTATTTCATGGACTTTTATCATTAGATGCTGGCCTTGCGCAGCCGTCTGAAGTGAGAAGAAGCACAAGAACACGCTCAAGGCCTTTAGAGCATTGGCTTGGTGAAAGATTACTATATGGGCCTATAAATGACAGTAAGTACACTAATCTAGCACATGTGTCAGCAATGCAGACCTTTCTTTTTATGACCAAGACTTGTATCCGAATTTAAGGTCAAATATATTACAGCAAATTCATCATACCAACTTGAAAATGCCATCTGCCTGACTGCCTTTCATTTTAATACAGCTAGTAGCTTTGTGCATCTAGACTTTTGATACTCAATAAATTAAAACCTGCTCTGTACTGGTAGTAAAAAAAAACAGTGGTGGAAACAAACAATAAAATCCCAGTTGGGCACTGTGTTAGCACCCTATAGTTAATACTGACATAATCACATAACGCTATTCAAAGTTCGGTTATGCGTTTCACAGCTTTACTTGCTTACCTAGTTGGCCCGATGCAAGATCCCTATGTTTGTTCTGTGTATAAATAAAGTAGAACAGCTACATTTTTAATCAAATACTTGTATCTTTTCCAGCTTTGCCTGCAGTTATTGGCATCAAAGCATACTCTCCCGGCCAAGATGGCAAGAGAACATTGAAAGTGAAATCTTTCGTGCCTGACCAGTATTCAGATCTTGTCGCTAAATCCGCGAAGTACTAAACAAGCCAACATTTTTCCTAAGAGGATCACGCCTTGTGACCTGTTGGTTTGTCACCTGACTTTATGTGATGTTGACATGTATCCGTGGAACTAGAGTAGGAGTACTGCACAACGAAATGCATGTGAACTTGTAATTTTTTTTTCTCTCGAACGAACTTGTAAAGTTAAAGGCAGACGTCCTATCGAATGGTTGTCAGTATCTTTTAGTTTGGATGCGATATTTCCACCTCGGCTTTTCGATACGTGGAGTCTAGGCTGCGAAATGGCATTTGCATGTGCTGATTTGTAGATGTTATGAGTTTTCCAGCGGTATAGTGGTGCTCGATAGTAAGGCAGTTTGAGCTTCAGCCTCTGGGAGGTGCCTCCACGTAGTACACTTTTTGTAGCACTATACCGTTGCTAGATAAGTAAGGCAGTTTGAGGTTCAGCCTCTGGAAGGTGCCTTAACGTAGTACACTTTTTTGTAGCACTATGGAGTCAGGATTCTATTTTTGGTTTTCTGTTTTTTAAAATGGATAGAAGTAGAGGCAATTCATAGCTGTTTTAAGGGAGATTGAAAGAGATGGATGGTTTAGTTGTTTGTTGTTTCAACCAAACATGTTATTACTTTTCTACATCACATAGCTTTTAACAACTTTCTCATAACTCGAACGGTTTTTTCACAGCTTACAGTTGAATCAGAGCTGGCTGGCACGTATCTAACAGAGCTATTGGTCCTAGATGTGTGTTCGTGTTGGTTGATTTTATTTTTATCTTGTCTTCTCGTTTTCAAATTTAAGATGCGATACCAAGATAAATATCCTGACCAATTGGAGCTGAATAAAAAAGAATGATAACACACCTGTAAATATCATGCGGATGCACGGGTGCCACTAGATCCAGCTATTCTTTGACCATACAGTCATCGTGACACAAGTTTACCCTGGGATTGGGAAGTGGAGACCTTCTAGCCTTGAGCACTGCAAAATAAGATCTGGGTTATGGATTAAGAATAACATTTTTTTTGAAAGGAGAAATCTTTTTTCTCGATCGGGTTTTTAACCCGTTTTTTATTAAGAGGAGAGGCCAAAAGAAAGGGCAGAACACGAATACAAAGGACTCACAAGTAATCCTAGGATTACTTTGCCACCACGGCTTCACCCCCCTCTTTTGGCGACCATTGCACGGATGTGTTTTCTTTTGCATGCATAGTCGGTTCGTGTTTTGTGGTGGAGGTCCTCTATGTTTTCGCTTCGTTTGTGTCTATTCCTTCGTTACAAGAAAAGTAAAGAAATGAGGCATAAAGATCTCCGTTCAAAGTCCTGTAAAGCCGTTTGAGTGGTACGTCGGGAATGGCCTTGTCTACTTTGCTAACTCGTGTGCAAGGTTTATAGTCTCAGTGAGCAATGACGTCGAACGTGGAACATTGTTAGCAGTATTGGCCAACATACCTGCCAGAATTTGTCTAAGACCAATGGCCTAGATCGTGGAACATTGAGCAACGCTAGCAGCATTGGCTAACGGCTTAACACTTGATTATCTTTTAGGTCTAAATGTCCTGCCTCTATGTATTCCCTCTATTCCAAAATAAATGATCTTAGAGCATTTAAATTTTGTCCTAAAATACATGACCTTTTTACTTCCTGATGCACCTTTCTTTTTCTCAATATATCTTTCTCCTTTTCAATACATCTCCGTCTGTATTTTGGTCTTTTGTCTTCAAAGTTGGTTTTCCAAAGAGATACGGGATTCCTTTTGTCCCAAAATAAATGATCTTAGAGCATTCAAATTTTGTCCTAAAATATATTACCTTTTTACTTCCTAATGCACCTTTATTTTTTCTCAATACATCTCTGTATTTTGGTCTTTTGGCTTTAAAGTTAGTTTTCGAAGAGATATGAGATGTCTGTATTTTGGTCTTTTGGCTTAAGGTTGGTCTCCAAAGAGATGTGGGACTAAGGCTGGATAACGAGGCTGGCTCGGCTCGTTCTGGCTCGTTAAGATAACGAGCTACCTCGGCTCGGCTCGTTATCCTAACAAGCCAGAAAGCCAGCTCGGCTCGGCTCGTTAAAAGCTCGAGCCGGCTCGTTAAGCTCACGAGCCAGGTATAAAAAATACATAAAATATAATATTTGTATTTATCTAAAGTTTGAGAATAATAATAATATAAAAGAAATGCATCTAGACCCGTTACTAGTCAATTTATAGAGTCTAGACCAGTTATCAGTCAAATGTAAAGTGCAAAACATGAAGTAATACAAAAACTAATATAAGTTTTGATACTTTTTTTCTGGAAGCTTGGCTCGTTTAGCTCGCGAGCGGCTCGCAAGCTGACCCGAGTTGGCTCGTTATAGCTAACGAGCTAAAATCTTGGCTCGGCTCGGCTCATTATCATAACGAGCCGAGCTGAGCTGAGTCGAGCCAGCCACGAGCCGAGCGAGCAAACGAGCTTCGAGTTTTTCGTCCAGCCTTATGTGGGACTGAGGGAGAATGAAAGGGGACAAAGGGAGCAGGTGGTGAGTATGATGATGCCAATGCCCTGTTTAATTTTGGATAGGATTGAATACCACATAATGCAAAGAATCTACGAAAGAAACAACATATATAACCATATTGACGCTTTGCAGGATTTATGGCACGCTATAAGGATGCGCCTTTTCCACTCTATAAATCACAAGGAAACAATACAGAGGCCAGAACATTGGCACGTATTGTATAAACTGGAACATGCCTTACATCTTTTAGCCCCTATGGAAGTTACCCTAGTTGGCCTGAACATTGTAGAACACTGAAAATAATACGTAACTTCTGATGATACCAGGGGCCTACACAGTAACTTGCGCTCTGCTTTCTGAATGAGACTCCAGGCCTTGTTTTTAGGTAGAAAAGACAAGGATACTAGTTGAGAACAACAATTTTCTGTCTTTTATTGGGCTTCTTTCCTTTGGCTGGACCCATCTCCGCGTCATCTGGACCTTTACATTTATTATCTTTGTCAGACACGATAGGTTTGTCACCATCTCCATCGCTGTCATCACTATCATCTTCCGAGTCAGATGAGCTGCAAGCAAATGGCATTTCTGAAGGCTGGGAGCCGTTTATTGTTGCTTCAGCAGCCTCCACAGCTTGCTCTGAATGAAGATCAGCAACACCAAGAAGCAGATCCTGTAGAAAACAAATACATAGAAAGAACGTCATGCAAACATCAGTTCAAACAGCTTGGACCTCAAGGTTTCCTCCATGATGCAGCTGAGACAATATACTAATATACTATCTCTCTCACCATCTCAATGTACTCCTCCTCGTTCCCGGTAAGGGCTTCAATATCGTACTCCACAGGAGGCTTGTTCTGCAATTGCGCGAATACGATTTAACCACATCGCGAATAACATGGTTAATGCAAGACTGGTTAGAATCTTAGAATTGTACTTGTGCGTCGAGCTGCAACTTCTGGTTGGCCCTTGCAATCTCCCCCAAGAAATCCTTGACTTTCCCAATAACTGAAACCCCAAAACAATCAAAATTCAGTGAACTGGCACACGAAAGAATATCAAAAAATCTTTTGCATACCACCTACTAACTATGCCAACTGCAGCCCTAAACCTTGAAAACTACATGATTCGGTGGTGTGATTTAAAGGAAATACAGTACAAACAAAAAGTTAATGTGATAACTTGGGAGCTAGGGTTAGCCATCAAAGTCGAAAAATGATATAATATAAAAAGCATGTACCGCTAGAATCCTAAGTTCCTAACACTAAGTACTGTAGGAAACAGAGGCGGATTCAGGCCCCGGGCTGGGGTGGCCACAACCCTGGGCCAGCCCAGAAAAATTCCACTACAACTCTTCTGTGCAGCCCAAGAAAAGCCCACAAGAACAGCCCACCAAAGGACTCTAGCCCACCCTAACTGAATCAGCCGCCTCCCACTTCTCCAACTGCCGAGTGCAGAAGCCGCCCCTCGACCGCGCCCCTCCACTTCGTGTCCGTTCTCCTCCGTGCTGGTGTGGTGGTGCCCCCCAGCCTCACCATCAGCCCTCCGCCCCTCGCCTCTCGCCGCTCGAGACCTTGCCTCCTCTTCCTCAGGCCTCGCTGCTTGCCGCCACAGCAGACTTGGTGCCCAACCGAGAACCAACCACACAAGTCGAATCAAGAGGGAACATAAAAAGAGCACATTTGTCACGTCGCACAAGTAAGAGGGCTACTATATCAAGATTTTCAATATTTTTTCATTATCTGCCAAATGCTGATGCAAGACAACCTGCTGTGTTTCCAATCCTGTCTCAGGTTCCGTTTTCACGGTCCTCCCTGTATCACAAATCCGTCTTTATAATGGATAGGCCGTCTAGGATCTTTTTCAGTGGCTGTAATTCTAGCACGGAAACAAGGGCTAAGTATTGGGTGGTGTTAAGCAACTAAAGGAGAACCGACACTTGGGCAGATGTGATATCGCAGCAATAGGTAGAGCTACAGACAGTTGATCTTGCAAAAAGAAATGGCTAAAAAAATGCTAATTCTAGTTTTATTTGCATTGTCACTTATTGTAGAGGATGGAAGCTTGTTGGACATTTAAGAATCTCATGTTGGTGAGTTTTGGAACCTGTTTAGAGGCTCGTGATTTACCTAACGCAGAGGAAGATCTGCTGACTGCACCATTGAAGAAATTCTTTTGGTAAGTGCCCCGGCTTAATAAATAGCCTAGAGTTGCATGTAGCGTTATGATTTTCTGCCTACAGGCAATGAAATTGATATGAAGAGCTAGTTCAACAGTACCTTGGCTTTTGGGGAGGGGATCAGTGGGCGGCCCCGACTTACGCTTCCCCTCCTTGTCCTGCTGCTGCTGCTGCTCCCTGCCAGCGAGAAGCGACTCTGCCGGTAACACGGACCAAAAATTCGTCAAAGGGGAAGAAGGGAAATCGCCGAAGGGGTTAAAAGTTCGAGGCAAGAGAAAGGAGGGTTAGATAGATGGGGAAGCCTACCGATGAAGGAGGAGGGAGGCCTGGGGTCGGAGGGCAGGCCCAGGAGCTCCTTGCTCGGCTCTCCCATGGTGCTCCTGTAAAGTGTGTTAGCTTGACAGTGGCGCGGTGGAGAAACCTCGGGGTCGTAGGAGCGGCGTAGTAGTCAGACCTTGGAGGTGGAGCCTCGGAGCTCGGAGGAGCGGCGCGTCGCGAGGAAGAGACGAAGGCGGCGGCGGCGGCGGGAGGGGTAGGGCTCGGCGCCACGGCTGCGTGCCTGCGTAATAATTGAATGGGCCGAGTCGGGCCTGTAGTTTAGGGGCTGGCACTTCAAGGTGCGGGGCCTGATTGTTAGGGCAACAGGAAAGAAAAAAAATGATAAAAAAAACAGGAAAGAAAAAAAAAGTCTCTACGTGTCCGAAAAATCGTTGTAACCTAATTTTTCCCCTAAAACTCTAAAACTAAATATTTTACCTTATCTGTCTGTTCCATTTTAGAGTGGTTTTATTTTTTATAGTTTAAAAAATAGGTAACTACATTATTAAAGTTTTAAAACCACAAAAAATATCTTTAAGCTTTTCAAAATTCCAAAAAAATAAAGAAATACTCCTAGATTGGTATATGAAAAAACAAAAAATACTCCAATATTTTTAATTTTATTTCAAACCGAACTATCCTAAATTTGATCAAATCTATTGAGGAGAATATTAACTGTATCCCATAAAAAGTGCCAAACTTTAGGTAACAGTAGAAATAATTATATTTTGAGATGGGAGAGTATTTAATTTGCATTTATCTATATGTGCATGGTGTGAAAGTATGTGCGGATTGTGTAGCCGTGGGTGTGTTTGTTAACTATAAAGATGTTTAATTACTTCATTCATCCATTCTAAATTGTAAGCTCATTTTAGTTATGTTCTTTCCAAATCAAACTTTGCTATAAAATAGTTTGACTAGAATCAAATCTAGATTTGTATTTTTTTTAGGATGGAATAGAAAATATAGAATGATTTACAACCTGGAAGGGAGGGAGTACCGTTTAAACGGAGGGTACATAAAAACAAGTTTATTTACTTCAAATTTTAGTGGTGGATATGCCGAAATGGCCGTACACGCCAATAGAACAGGGAGGAGATCTTTTTGCTCTCACGCAACAAACGGTTTGGATAGAACTTTCTGCTTCTCCGTCCTTCGGTCTAGCCCGAGTGGACGTAGGAAGAGGGGGCTTGACGCCGGCGCGCCATGGCGGGGGCTCTCCTCTCCTCTCCCCACACTCTCCCGAGCCCCGCTTCTCAGTCCTCGCTTCGCCCCAGGCATGCGCTCGCTCTGCCGCTTACACGATTCCCTACTCGCCGCCCATTCGTGTTACTCTGCACAGAACACCCACCCTCCTTGACTGCGCTCCTGATTGTTGGATGGTTGGTTGGTTCCTGGGGATTGCGCAGGAGCAGGGGACCGCGCGGCGCTGGGGCAGCGCTTGTTCTGCCACCGAGGAGGAGGGCCTGTGTGCTCGCTTCGTGCTCTCGCGAGCCTGCCGCCAGGAACCGCGGCTTGGAGGTGGAGAGGAGGCGCCTTCTCATGTCCGGGCTCGTGTCTTCTTTCGCAGTCGTGCTCCCGATTTCAGGTAGAGTTCATGGGATGCCTCTCCACTCCTCATGATTCTTTATTCACTCAGTTCGGCTCTTCTAGATGGAAGAATTACCATTTCTACTTTCTGCTAATTTCCACACACTGAATTTGTCAGGCGTGTCAGTTCTGAGGCATGTGATTACAAAATTTAGAGTAAATCCATGACCTGTACCGTTTTATGAATATGCATAATGTGCTACACATTTTTCTATTGGATATCCTGTTTTCTATTTATAACGCGCTCTTTCTCCTGAGAGGCCATTTTTTGGCGGTTCTTTTCTTGAAAGACCAATTCTTGAATGCTCATAAGTGTTTTGCTCGCAACGATTATGTAGAAGCATATGCTGTCATGGAGACTGATGGAGACGTGAAGATGAACACACAAGTTGATGAGATCAATGCATACTCTTTTCTTTACCCGGTCGAACTGCCAGGAAAGAAATTTTCCTTCAAATGGTATTTCAGTTGTTTGCACTACAATATTTTGTCCAATCTACTGTGTTGTCAGTCTTAACCTGTTGTTTGTGTTTAGTGGTTTCTCATGGCTTCTCATGAGAACTAGGATAAAACTTGTCACTTACAAATTACTATCGTATTATTCTGTTCCTAGGGTAGAGTCCAGAAAACCAGAGCGGTATTCCTCTGCAGCGCCACTATCACGTGAGTAGCTTCTGGCATAACAATGATAAGAAATGGTCTTATTACTTTGTTCACATGAATGAACTAGATTATTAAGTATAAGGACTTCCACAGTTATGCCTTTTGAAATAACCATATATTTCGTAATGTAGCAAACTGATTAGGTCTCTATGCAGCTGATGCACGGCAACGTATCGTATCGGAGCGAGTTGACATGATACATAATGTTGTCATCTCAGTCTCGGTAACTCCTCAAATACTCTATGATACTAGGAAATGCATAAATCTGCAATTTGTTGGGCTGTACTAACCCAATATCATCTTTTAATAGTTAAGTTTCTTTATTTTGTTATTTTTGCAAATTGCTGTGTCTGTGACTAAATATTTCATTTTCGGTGCAAATTGTTATGTGGCTTGCTTATTTGGATGGGAAATACATCAGTTGAAACTCTGAAAAACAAATTTGAGTATACATGGTAACATCCATAATTTTTTCTGTTGCAGATTGGGCCACCGAATTCACATTTTTTGCCTTCAAAAGACAAGAGTTCGTGGGATCCAAAAGATGTTGCTGATTGCATTTTGTCTGATAGATCTACCCTGGTACATACTATTTGGCTTTCTTTTAGATATGCCATTTCTTGCATTTCTTTAGCTAAATTGTGTCCAACAAACTGTATAGATTAATAAAAGAAGGATCTGAGTAGTTTATCAGATACATCCAGAAAGCAAATAAATGCATAAATTTAAATTCTTATGTTCCTTAGTTATCTCTCTGTGTGTCATAAGAAGCATGTGTATTGTCTCATGGAGTGAAGCAAAGATGAGCACCATTGCTTGTAACTGTGAGCTTATAACCCAACAATGTAACTACCATTACCAGATTTTGCCGGAATCTGTGGTGATGAAATTGAGGTGGGGATAGTTCATCCCTCCTGGTGATCTCCTCAAAAAGAAAAAAAAAGGATAAGCATGATAGAACTTTCTGTCATGCGCTGAGCAGTTAATACATCTAGAAAGCTGATTCAATCAAGCATAAATCTAAACTCAGATGCGCCTTAGTGTCAAGTGTGTCATAAGAAACATGCACATTGTCTCATGGACTGAAGCAATGGTGGTTGCTAAATAACAAAGTATAAATAATCCATAGAACTGATCAGAGATTCATTGTCTCATGGACTGAAGCAATGGTGGTTGCTAAACAACAAAGTATAAATAATCCATAGAACTGATCAGAGATTGTTGACATGCTGAAAAAGGTTTAAGTTCCTTGAATGCAATTTTTAATGTCGATATTTGACATATTGATTCTACACCAAACTTTATCACCTTGTAGAAGGTGACGACTGGCCAGCGCATGACAGAGAGTTCTGTCCTTGATGCACACGCTACAAAGGTAAGCTCTGACCATTGCTATCATCCTTTAAGAGTACTTTCGTTTTTCGGAGTTGACATGCACCAGTACATATGGAAAATTATTTGTAGGTTGACGGAGAACCATACTGGTATTATGAGTATCTTGTTCGGAAATCACCAACAAAATCTGTAAGTTTCCTAGCACATATGCATTTGACAACAAATATACTTTTATGAAGAGTGTCAAAGAGAGACATATGCTTAGACTAAACTTCAGGTGCACTGTATTAACTATTTGATATCCAAGTAGTGCATAAGGCGGCTTAGATGTTCTTAATGATACTCGTTGTTTCATCAGGCACCAGAACCAAATTTGTTTCGACACAATGTAGCCTGCACTGCTGAGCGTGATGGTATTACTTCATCTTTCCAGTTTTTGTCATCGACCATTCACTCCCTTATATTTGAAGTATTTCTTTGTTCACTCACCTTTTTTTCTTTCTTTCTTTTAATAGGGTACCTGTACTCACTGAATGCTTCCACCCTTAGCAAACAGTGGGAATCTGTACGTCTTAAATGTCCCATTGTTGCATACCACTTCAGCAAATAAATATTTTTTAGTGTTTGATTTCATTTTGTGACTTCAATAACATGATGAACATGTATTTGTCATACAAATATGTTTATATATCAGCTTCTAACCAATATTGAATTTTTGCAACACAGATGGGTCCCTTTCTACAACAGACTGTGGCATCCTTTCGCCTTCTCCCCCCTACAGAAAACTATGTTCCTCCCTACAAGGATCCTTGGAGATTTTGGTGAATGGAGATTCTTTTTGTAGTTCCAATTTTTTTCTCTTCAGATGACATTATAGCTTCAGGTTTTAGACCATATTTTTTCACACCAAATCTTTAGCGAGTGCCTGTCCTTTCAGCTTGACAGATAAAATTCAGAGTTCCAGTTTGGTTTCACCAATCCTGTACGTTCTGATTAATCAACAGTCAAATGCACCTTAAGAATTACTGTACTCCCTTTGTCCCAAAACAAGTCAACTTCTAGAATCACCCTATGTCAAACTATATCTTGAGTTTGACCAACTTTATAGTGAAGAATAACAAAAAATTATGACACCAAATAGGAGTAAGTAGATTACGAAAATATACTTCTTGGTGTATCCAGTGATACTAATTTAATGTCATAAGTTAATAAGTATTAATACTCTTTTCTATAAATTTAGTCAAACTTAAAATAATTTGACTTAGGTCAACTTTAGAAGTTGATTTGTTTTGGGAAGGAGGGAGTAATACACTAAAATCTTTGCGAAAGGTCTAAGGCACGAAAAATCATAGCGGTTAATTTGTTGTTTTCCCCTGCTGCTTAGATGTTAAATATATGACTATCTCGATCTCATATTTACTCTTTTCCATACCAAACATAGCTTCTTATATTCTTATTTTTGTCAAT